CTGCCAATCCCTTCATTGGCTCCCGATTGCCCAACGCATCAAATTCAAACTGCTAACTCTGACCTACAAAGCCATTCACAATGCCGCCCCAACCTACATAACTGACCTGATACCCAAATACTACCCTAACCATACCCTCCGCTCCTCACAGGACCTCCTGCTCTCTAGCTCCCTGGTCTCCTCCTCCCACGCCCGATTGCAGGACTTCTCCAGGACTTCCCCCATCCTCTAGAACTCCCTACCCCAATCTATCAGACTGTCACCTACCCTCCTCACCTTCAGGCGCACCCTGAAAACCCTCCTCTTCAGGGAAGCCTACCCCAACCTCACCTAACACCCGACCTTACCTAACAACTAACCTCCTCCACTCCTCCCACCACTCCATCCCCCACAGCCATCTCCTCCTGTACCACCTTCCCCTCCCTCCTAGATTGTAAACTCGAAGAGCAGGGCCCTCGATCCCCTCGTGTATTGTATTGTTACTGTCTTGTCTCATGTTCTGTCCCCCTTGCTACTGTACAGCACTGAGCATACCCTTTGGCACTATATAAATACTGTATAATAATAATAATAATTGGTACCTTTTCAAAATTGTAAGAAATAATTGCATTCCAAGTCTGTGATGTTCCTGTAATTTGTCATTAGACTCCCCCGTATCCATGACCAGGCACTGACAATATAGAAATCACACCGACAACCGGGGACAATGGTGAATAATGGCCTCCACCTTTCTGTTGTGTATCTCTGGAGCATAAAAAAGAGAAAGAGTAGCAAAGAAGTGTCTGAGGAGAACAAAAATTGTTGAAAAGCACGGACAATCTCAAGGTGACAAGTCCATCTCCAGAGATCTTAATGTTCCTGTGTCCATGGCGAGCAACATTGTCAAGAGGTTTACAGCCCATGGCACTGTAGCTAATCTCCCTGGACGTGGACGAAAGAGAAAAATTGATCAAAGATTGCAATGAAGGATTGTTGGAATGGTGGGCTTCCAACTTCCATACAAATTCAAGCTGACCTTCAAGCACAGGGTACAACTCTCACTATACATCGCCATCTGAATGAAAAGGGACGTTAGGGTAGGAGACCCAGGAGGACCCCACTGCTGACACAGAAATATGGTAGGAGACCCAGGAGGACCCCACTGCTGATACAGAAATATGGTAGGAGACCCAGGAGGACCCCACTGCTGATACAGAAATATGGTAGGAGACCCAGGAGGACCCCACTGCTGATATAGAAATATGGTAGGAGAGCCTGGAGGACCCCACTGCTGACACAGAAATATGGGAGGAGACCCAGGAGGACCCCACTGCTGACACAGAAATATGGGAGGAGACTCAGGAGGACCCACTGCTGACACAGAAATATGGTAGGAGAGCCAGGAGCACCCCACCGCTCACACAGAAATATGGGAGGAGATCCAGGAGGACCCCACTGCTGACACAGAAATATGGGAGGAGACCCAGGAGGACCCCACCGCTGACACAGAAATATGGGAGGAGATCCAGGAGGACCCCACTGCTGACACAGAAATATGGGAGGAGACCCAGGAGGACCCCACTGCTGACACAGAAATATGGGAGGAGACCCAGGAGGACTCCACTGCTGACACAGAAATATGGGAGGAGACCCAGGAGAACCCCACTGCTGACACAGAAATATGGGAGGAGACTCAGGAGGACCCCACTGCTGACACAGAAATATGGGAGGAGAGCCAGGAGGACTCCACTGCTAACGCAGAAATATGGTAAGAGACCCAAGAGGACCCCACTGCTGACACAGAAATATGGGAGGAGACCCAAGAGGACCCCACTGCTGACACAGAAATATGGTGGGAGACCCAGGAGGACCCCACTGCTGACACAGAAATATGGTAGGAGACCCAGGAGGACCCCACTGCTGACACAGAAATATGGGAGGAGACCCAGGAGGACCCCACTGCTGACACAGAAATATGGTGGGAGACCCAGGAGGACCCACTGCTGACACAGAAATATGGGAGGAGACCCAGGAGGACCCCACTGCTGATACAGAAACACAAAAAAGCCAGATTGGAGTTTGCTAAAACTTACCCGAGGAAGACAAAATCCTTCTGGGAGAATGTGCTGTGGACAGACGAAACAAAATTACAGCTTTTTGGTAAAGTCCATCATTCTACTATTTTCTGAAAAAGCAATGAGGCCTTTAAAGAAAAGAATCCAGTCCCTCCAGTCACACATGGTGGGGGGTCACTGATGTTTTGGGTTGCTTTTCTGCTTCAGGCACTGGATGTCTTGGCTGTGTGCATGGCATTATGAAATCTGAAGACTACCAAAGAATTCTGGGGTGCAATTTAGGGCCCGGTTTCAGAAAGTTGGGTCTCCATCAGAGGTCATGGGTCTTCCAGCAGGACAATGACCCAAAGCACACGTCAAAAAGCCCACAGAAATGGTTTCAGACAGGAGAGGATGAACTGGCCAGCAATGAGTCCAGATCTCCATCCCATAGAGCTCCTGTGGAGAGATCTCAGACCAGCAGTTGGGAAAAGGAACCCTTCCAATCTGAGAGACCCGGAGCAGTTGGAGGAAGAAGAGCGCTCCAAAATTCCAACAGAGGTGGGGGAAAATCATTGATGGTTACATGAAGTCATTGATTTCAGTTGTTTTTTCCAAGGGGTGTGCTACCAAATATTAAATTGAGGGTACCAATCATTTTGTCCAATTCATTTTTGGGGTTTTGTGTGGAATGTGTCAGATTTGGCCTTTTTGTTTTTCCACTTGCACACGAAATACACACAAGAATGCCAAAACGTGTAATTGCTACAATTTTGGGGGCGAAGTGTTTCATTATCTTACAGAAATGGAGGGGGACAAGATTTGTGGCCATGGCTGTATCTTCTTTCCTTAGTACATATCAAAAGCACACATTTACAAAGCTGAGTTCACTTATGTGCACCCAAAAACTGTTTGACATCACGGATCCCTGTGAACTTGTAGGCAGGTGCAGTCTGCTGGTCTCCACTGTAGGTGGCTCTTGACCAAAGCAGTACTGCAGCCGGAGAGGAAGTTAAGAGAAGCCTGGTTTCTCTATGGTTTTCTGGTCCCCTGAGGCAGTGTTTTGATTGGCTACATTGCATCCAGGTGACCCCTGGTGGCCATCTTGAGTCGGTAGAGTCTTCTCAAGTTCCTATCACAAGTTTTTGGCACGTATCTGCAAAGTGATTGGAGTAGTGAAAGACCACCCATCTGTTAGGGAAAGTGATTAGCGGCAGGGAGAGGTTTTGGATGAGTAGGGACACACCATCCTTCGTCAGAAGCCTCCCTATTAGAATCGGACTGGCAAGGCTGTATTCTGCCTTCTGAGACAGACACTGTCGGTGCATCTTTACCTGCTTCATTTCTGAATTGCACAGAACTGTGAGTATTCCCTGGTGTGGCAATCTCCCGCTGGGCTGTTTGTAAGTTGAGTATTTCTTCAATACAAGCTTGGGTTACCCATATCATTACTGTTGTCTCACCATGCTGCACCTACCCACACACTCCACTATCGCATTGTAATTCTTTTTTACCTCAGTTACCTGCTTTGGTGGATTATCCTCAGAATACAGTGTCATCATGTTGCAATTCACCAATCGTCCCCTTGAAGTCAGGTCCTGTACTGCTATCATCTTTAGCTACCTCATCAGGAGGCCATTGTCACTTCTGGTGATGGCATGAGTCATCAAAGGGGTGGCTGCAAGAACCAGGAGGAGCTAGTTGGCCCATTGGTGATGGCATGAGTCATCAAAGGGGTGTCTGCAAGAACCAGGAGGAGCTAGTTGGCCCATTGGTGATGGCATGAGTCATCAAAGGGGTGGCTGCAAGAACCAGGAGGAGCTAGTTGGCCCAATGGTGATGGCATGAGTCATCAAATGGGTGGCTGCAAGAACCAGGAGGAGCTAGTTGGGCCATTGGTGATGGCATGAGTCATCAAAGGGGCGGCTGCAAGAACCAGGAGGAGCTATCTGGCCTATTGATGATGGCATGAGTCATCAAAGGGGTGGCTGCAAGAACCAGGAGGAGCTAGCTGGCCCAATGGTGATGGCATGAGTCATCAAAGGGGTGGCTGCAAGAACCAGGAGGAGCTAGCTGGCCCAATGGTGATGGCATGAGTCATCAAAGGGGTGTCTGCAAGAACCAGGAGGAGCGAGTTGGCCCATTGGTGATGGCATGAGTCATCAAAGGGGTGGCTGCAAGAACCAGGAGGAGCGATTTGGCCCATTGGTGATGGCATGAGTCATCAAAGGGGTGGCTGCAAGAACCAGGAGGAGCTAGTTGGCCCATTGGTGATGGCATGAGTCATCAAAGGGGTGTCTGCAAGAACCAGGAGGAGCTAGTTGGCCCATTGGTGATGGCATGAGTCATCAAAGGGGTGGCTGCAAGAACCAGGAGGAGCTAGTTGGCCCAATGGTGATGTGCATCCAAACCTGTGCAGTGTAGTAACCCGCAGGGGCGGACTGACAACTCATGGGGCCCCCGGGCAATAGGGGATCATGGGGCCCCTGTGTCCTTGCTCAAACTCAAAAAAGCCTATGAAAAAGGTACCAGGGGCATCTCATGGGGCCCCCTACTAACCCTGGGCCCTCGGGCAGTTCCCGAGTTTCCAAATGGTCAGACCGCCCCTGGTGGTCCCCCATCATATCAGAGGTGCCCCAATCACATCACAAGCCCTCTTTACTTCAGAGGTCCCCTTCACTTCAGAGGTACCCCATCACATCAGAGGTACCCCAATCACATCACAAATCCCCTTCACTACAGAGGTCCCCCATTAAAGCCTATGAAAAAGGTACCGGGGGCATCTCATTGGGCCCCCTACTGACCCTGGCCCTCGGGCAGTGCCCGAGTTTCCAAATGGTCAGTCCACCCATGGTAACCCGACACCTCCTGGGATCTGCAATGTGGGTATCCCAGGAGGCTGCGGGCAAGGAGGATGTCGCTTTGGAGGGGTGACACCACGTGTTACCGCACCAGGTGACACCAACCCTAGGGACGTCTCTGATTTGTATGGACCCAGACATTTGGAACATTCCTTGGTACAAACATATGATGAAATCCACTAACAGGGTCATCTTCTGCCCTAAGCTGACCTACAACCACACTAATTATACAGTTGTCAGGCTGATGGTCTGGAGAGGGGATGCTATGCTGTGCCTTCTGAAAGGGAAGCATTGATCGCTGTTCAATAATCGCATCCTTCCCTTGACATTGCTGTCCTTCCCACGTCACACATGAAGCATCGGTACGGATAGATTTTAGATGTGTTCTATCACTGTCACACAAGCGGTAATAATGCTGAACAAGGCTGTTCCCAAAGCCGCTGGTCATCCATTGTGAATGCTTACAGATCCAGCACCCGGCCGAGATCGAGATTTTTTTCTTTAATATTACACTGCCCCTATAACAGTGCATGAGGTCGCTCCTATAACAGTGCACGAGGCCGCTTCTGTAACAGTGCACAAGGCTTCTCCTGTAACATTGCACGAGGCCTATCCTGTAACAGTGCATGAGGCCGCTCCTGTAACAGTGCACGAGGCCGATCCTATAACAGTGCACGAGGCCGCTCCTGTAACAATGCACGAGGCCACTCCTATAACAGTGCACGAGGCCGCTCCTATAACAGTGCATAAGGTCCGCTCCTATAACAGTGCATGAGACCGCTCCTATAACAGTGCAGAAGGCCGTAACAGTGCACGAGGCTTCTATAACAGTGCACAAGTAACAGTGCACAAGGCTCCTATAACAGTGCACAAGACTGCTCCTATAACAGTGCACAAGGCTTCTGCTGTAACAGTGCACGAGGCTTCTATCCTGTAACAGTGCACAAGGCCATCCTGTAACAGTGCACGAGGCCTCTCCTATAATAGTGCACAAGGCCGCTCCTATAACAGTGCACAAGGCACCTGCTCCTATAACAGTGCACAAGGCCGCTCCTATAACAGTGCATAAGACTGCTCCTATAACAGTGCCTATAACAGTGCTTTAGACTGCTCCTATAACAGTGCACAAGACTGCTCCTATAACAGTGCACAAGGCTGCTCCTGTAACAGTGCACGAGGCTTTCTCCTGTAACAGTGCACAAGGCCTCTCCTGTAACAATGCACAAGGCCGCTCCTATAACAGTGCACGAGGCCTCTCCTATAACAGTGCACAAGGCCGCTCCTATAACAGTGCACAAGGCTCCTATAACGCAAGGCTTCTCCTGTAACAGTGCACAAGGCTTCTCCTGTAAAGGCACAAGGCTTCTCCTATAACAGTGCACAAGGCCGCTCCTATAACAGTGCACGAGGCCTCTCCTATAATAGTGCACAAGGCCGCTCCTATAACAGTGCACAAGACTGCTCCTATAACAGTGCAGAAGACTGCTCCTATAACAGTGCACAAGTCTGCTCCTGTAACAGTGCACAAGGCTTCTCCTGTAACAGTGCACAAGGCTTCTCCTGTAACAGTGCACAAGACTTCTCCTATAACAGTGCACAAGGCTTCTCCTGTAACAATGCACAAGACCTCTCCTATAACAGTGCACAATAGATCCCCCAGTAACAATAGACTCTCTGCAACACCCCCCCAACAACAATAGACCCCACCAATAACAATAGATCTCCCAGAAGCTAGTATAAATAGGCCTACCAGCAACAATAGAACCCCCAGCCACAATAGATCCCGCTGTAGCCAGCATCAATGGACCTTTCAGTACACCCAATATCCCTTGCCATTACAATATGTTCCCGCTGAAAAACTCCCTGAGCTTACTTGAAAAATCTCCTTTCATGTAGTGACTTCTGCCCATCTTCTGCCCGTCTCTTTCCACAACTTCCTGGATTCCCCACAAACTTTGCATCTCCTCCTCTGCTGTTGACTTTAGATTCTAAAGACTACATATCCCATGGTACCTTGCTGCCTGCAAGAAGTGGTTCCTGCACTGACTCCGCCTCCAGAAGCTCCTCCTCTCAGCACCTCTGTAGTCAAGAAGGCGGGCTCCGTGAAATGCAGCAGTGCCTACCCACAGGGCACAGTGACTATGTGTCACAGAATTCAAGGAAGTAAATGTGTGTGAGGGTCTTTGCAAAGAAAATTTACAAAAGTTCAGGACAGTTCAGATTAATAGGAGGCTAGAAATCATTGAAATCCAGTGTGGAAGTGAAGGTAGGATTTTACATCTTGACCACAAGGGAGGCTTTTACAGGTGAGCACCACGCCTACAGTATGATAAATGTACACATCATCTGATGGGAAGAGAACTCAAACCGTAAATCTCACATGAGCTCTAACGTGTGAATGTCATTTTCAGAGGACTTCTTCAGACTGCAGATGTCTCATAAACTCTGACACAGAGGAATCAGCCTTGAAAATCCCTCCGTTGGGTCTGGAAACCATCTCTTGCTGAGTGAGAAGTTGACGTCTCTCCTACAACGACTTTATCTCAGCTCCTACAGGACTGTCTGACAGGTCCCCTCACCTCCTGCCTCTCATCATCCCAATCCCTATACTTCAAAGCCTCATGAAAAGTCTTCAATGATGCTTTTTTTGACACCGTGAGAGTTCTGGGAACTACGACATGAAGTCTTCTCCTTAGCTCTTTCTTGCTGGAGGTGATTTGAGACTGATGTCCGGTATTTAGAGAGGCTTCGAGGAGTTGGGGCTTCTGAAGACCCACCAAGAATTATTGTTATTATTATACAGTATTTATATAGTGCCAAAAAGATTTGCTCAGTGCTGTACATTATAGTGGGGGACAGAACATGAGACAATACAGCAACAAACAATACACGAGGGGTTCAAGGGCCCTGCTCTTTCGAGCTTACAATCTAGGAGGGAGGGGGTAGTGGTACAGGAGGAAGTGGCTGTGGGGGATGGAGTGGTAGGAGAAGTGGAGGATATCGGCAGTTAGGTGAGGGTGGGGTAGGCTTTCCTGAAGAGATGGGTTTTCAGGGTGCGCCTAAAGGTAAGCAGGGTAGGTGACAGTCTGATGAATTGGGGTAGTGAGTTCCAGAGGATGGGGGAAGTCCTGGAGAAGTCCTGCAGTCGGGCGTGCGAGGTGGAGACCAGGGAGCTAGAAAGTAGGAGGTCTTGTGAGGAGCAAAGATTATGGGTTGGGTGATATTTGGGTATCAGGTCGGTGAAGTAGTTTGGGGCAGTGTTATGAATGGCTTTGTATGTCAGTATTAGTAGTCTGAATTTAATGCGTTGGGCAAGAAGAAAGGGAAACATTTATCATAGGGGAGCAGAGTCAGAACTCTGTCTTTTTAACTCATGTTGGCAATGAATAAATGTTGGCTGATTCCTGCCAGTCAGATGGAGGACGCTCTTATGGGACACTCCAGCCAAGAAGTTAGTGAAGGGCTCCGCAGTCCGTTATGTAAATGTACATAATATCTTCTTTGCCGACATTTTTAGAGATGTTTTGGTTAAGAGTCTCGGCTATTCTCCATTAGGCTGCATCCACACTTTCACATACCGTTCCCACTCGCGATTTGGTTTCAGCAATTTGCAGTCGGCTTGGCGTGTGGCACATAGGGCAGCCCATTCACATCACGGGTTAACCTATGCATGTTTGTTGCCCTGTAATAGATATGTTGGGTGCAATTACTAAAAACAAGCCATATACACGCACACAATCAACATGCAGTCATGCAGGTACCTTTTAATCAGCATTTAAACCATTACATATTCTACACATGTGAAAGACCAACTACCAAATGAATACCTGCCCCGGCACATCATAGCATTCACCCAGAACTCCAAGAAATAACAGAATCCAACTGCAGTATTCTTGCACTGTCAAGACCTCCACTTTTTTGATCACACGACACACAGGAGGATATATCTTATAGTCATCACAATCTGCACAATAACACACACCAATAATAATGTGAGATTTAAAGCATGAAATAGACACATCATTGGACAGCATCACAGCATAGAATTAATACATTACCAAAGCTATGTGGAAGCTGGGAGGAACAAATCCCATCGGAACCAAACTGCCCAGGGGGTCATGGGGAAGCCAGAGGCGCGACCAGTCGATGACCCCATATATCCTTGGTAAAAATCCCAGCATCAGAGCGTCCTCTGGTTACTAGGGGGGCTTCTACTGGTCTCGCCCAGACCTCCGCCTTATAAACTCTTTTTCTGGAAGCAGTCCAATAATGGGCGGGTGCCACACCCACTACGGGAGGGGCTAGCAGAAGGATTCCACGAGGATAACAGTCATGTTCAACCACCATATTTGTTATCTGAAAAGTCACACTTTTGCTTCTTATCTACCCCAAATCCTCTTTTCATTTCCCCCAGACTTAGGGATTTCTAACTTAGACATCCTTAAACAGGTTTTTATCTCCTAATGTGAGGTTACTAGATGTCATCAACACGTTTCATTCCATAAACAAGGTTTTATCTCGCTCTCAGCAGAATATCTTGTGACTCTGTTCCTTTGGCTAAAGAAATGACAGTTCAGTCACCTCTCATGCTCCTGGCATTTGGGCGACGATGCTTTATTGTAAAAATTACCCAAGAAACAAAGGGTCCAAGGCCAACACATTTCATAGGCATTACATGCCCAAAAAGAAGCTCGTGCTCCTTTGTTTTGATTTTTAAAGGCATGGTTTACCACTATCCTGTCACTTGACAACTGCGGCAGAGTTGCACCACGTCTGCTGTGCCATTTAATGCGCAGGTATTAAATGCGAGTCGCACACTGTGCACTGATTGCCATGCAATTGGGAATTGTGGGCAGAATCGTGATTCCAAATTGTGAAGTGTAAATGGGGCTTACAAGTTTAACTTTTTAAAATAGATTTAATCCCAATCACTAAAATATCTTATCAGCTAAAACACATTAAATGCACGGGTGTCAAACTCACATTTCAGCAGACAAAATATCGCTTGTAACACCTCTCATGGGTGTACTGAGGCACTCTGGTGTAGCAAGATGGCGCCAGCCCGGAGGTGCGTCACCACGATGATGTGACGTAGTGACGTGGTGACGCACTTCCGGGTTGGCGCCATCTTGCTACACCAGCGTTACAAGCGATATTTTGTCTGCTGAAATGTGAGTTGCAACTTGGCGATTTTAAACAGAATAAATGTTATATACAGTTTTGCACTATGGAGGATCTTTGTGCTTTTGTTTCATGACTGCCACCATCCCATGAGTTTTTTAAGTACATGCACAGCGGTACCTATCCAGGGGGAATAGCAGGTGGTGAAGGAGGGAGCATTGGAGAGTGAGGAGTACCTTGCACCTGGAGAAAACGCATAGGGTCCAGGTGTGACCCGTAAGGCTATTTGGCCCCTGTGGGTCGCAGGGAGAAGGTGAGCAGGCATGC